GAACGAAAAGTTACATCTTTATATGTACAATTTGTTATTAAGCACGGTCCAAAATTTTTTTTCATTGTTAAGATTTTCAAAAGTAAAAACACGTGAGTTTGAGGCGCGGTTCAAATTTTGTGTACAATTTCTGACCAATCACAATCGCATTGATCATTTTAATTATAGCCAATCAGAGAGAAACTCCATTATGCTGGTAAATGATAAACAAGTAAATAACTAATGTGGCTAATGATGATGAACCAATCAAATTTGGGGTCTTTGGTATTATCCTAGATGGTAGGTTAAGATTCCTTTCCACAATGAAAGTTGGGAAGATCATCGAAAAAAAAAAAATTAATTAATCTATAAATTATGTAAAGATGTTTTTCCTTCAATATATAAATAAAAAATATATATATTTTTATAAATTACAAATCCTTCATTTTTTTTAAGAAAAATAAAAAAAATGCCTAAAACTATAAAGCAAAAAAATAACTATCGCGTTATTGATTCATACTGTATATCGATTCTAAGTTTAATAGAGTTGGCGACGATAATTATAATTACGTTCTCAAATCGACGTTCCCTTCTACCTGAAATTGTAATTGCTATTAAAGCACCTAGCAATAATAAAAAAGCAAAACCATTTCCAAATGCTTTTATCACGTATAAAAAAGCATTAATTAAAGAGAATCGTATTAGAAACATTAAATTACCTCCAATGGGCCAACTTTCTAAAATCGTATCTCTTTATTTGAATGAAGAACCAGAAAACGTAAAGGAATTTTACAGAAGTATATCCGAGAAAGCTAAATCTTTGTATAAGCAAAATGAAATTCAAATCGTATTTGATAAACATATGAATGAAGTTGATAGTGACCAAAGAGGTACACATTTAGCACATTTAGCTGCGATGGATCTAATTCTTGCGGCACATATGAATTATGCCAATAATACTCAAACTAAAGAAGTTGAGGATATGATCCATGCGCCAAATTCATCAAGTGGATATCTTACGATTGAGGACTCTACCATCGGTGTTATGACTCCTTGTTATGATAACGGTACGACTAGCATTTCTCATGTTGAAAATTGTCCCAAACATAACTTTTTAGGAGATCCTAACGATCAAGAGTATAAGCAAATGCTGATGCAAATTAATATCAATTTATTTATACACGACTTACGTCAAAATTATTTATATAACTAACGTAACAGAACCAATAATTAGGAATAACAAAAATTTTATTTATATTCAAATTACCGTTACTTTGGGTGATTTATCATAATATTTACATCACACATCATTGAAGAATATATAACTAGGCTTCGATTTTGTTTTGTTTTAGTTAGAAGACTATTATTACAGATTGCCGAGGGTGCCAGTTATAGTAGTTTCTTTTTGAAATCTAACCTTCTGTTTATATAATTACATTCTAAATCATTAGCAGTTAGATTTTGCATCTTTATCACGACTTAGTAGGAAATTCATGAACCTCTGTAATCTGTGAATTAGTGATAATTTAGTGATAGGGTTTATGATAAAATCCATCCAAATAAATTTTGAATATACACTTTAAAAATGGCAATCAGATATTTTGAAGTATGCCTAAGATTTAAAATAATATTACAGAGTTTATTTTAAAAAATTTATAAAGGTTTGGAAATATGAGTCCAATCTATTATTTAAAAGTTCAAAAAAATAAGAAAATAATTCTGTTTATTACTTAATTAGTTTATTAATTGATTTATTTTGAAACATATCAAAAAATATTCACGAACTAAAATGAAGAAATTGTTGAATTTATGAGACGTATATTTTTAGATTTCGGCAGAAAAACTTATCGTGTATAAATTCTACTAGTCATACACAAAAGACAATTCTTGACATATTGTAGTTGCTAATTCCAAGATATTTTTTAAGCAATTTCTAAAGCCATTACGATATAATATCGTATATGTAATACAAATTTATTTTTAAATATCAGAAAAGATGTTTGATGTCATCTTTATGCTTTTTTTAATTTCAGGTTGTTTCAGATATAAGCAAAAATATTCGATATTAGATACAAATTTCGATGAGAAAATGATCAAGCAAACTTTATATTCGGTATTATTGTATTTATTAATACTGTCTGTTTATTTTATTTTTTTTTACATAATGATGTTGAGAAAACAATAAAAAAAAAAAGTTTCGAAAAGAGCTACTGTACTGTATTTATTAATCAAAATCCTGATGAGGTCATTAAAAATTCGAAAAAAGTTTTATATAAAATTTACCGGGAGATGTAAATGTTTTTAAAAAAAAAAATTTAAACGCGAACCAAAAAATTTTATATGGCCTAATTTATATACTAACATAACGGTCAAATTTCATCAGACTTGTTGTTATTAGAAAATGATTTTTATTTCACTAAATATACATCTGATATTTGAAACCGAAAAATGGTTGTCAAATAGAATTTTTTGTAACAAATAAATGTTAAAATGACACGGACGGTTATTATATAAAAAACCTCATTAAGCTTCATTACTATTGGTCGTGTCAAGTAACAATTGTTGGTTTTGCATTTCATTGCAAACTTAATATTTGTAGATTTAAAATAAAAAAATTATGTTGGTCCATATAACTCATTTAGGATATTTACTAAACAATGAATGCTTCGTGTGTGTAAATGTAAATATAATAAGATTAAGTTATTAAGTTATAATAAAACTATGTTTTTTAAATATCTGTCCTGCGGATATCAAATTTAAACCTACTTGACGCTTCAAGTAATCATTTATTGACCATGTGCAATCCAAATATGGCGTGGTCACAATTACATATCACTCTAGTAGGAAGCATTACAATCAAATCTCTCTTGTAACTCATTATTAAATTTTCCTTCTGATTTGATTGGTTGCAAATCATGTAATCATTCAAACGCGAATTGATATTATGGTAATTTCTTTGATTCCGAAACTCAAAGCCAAAAAACAGTCTATAGATATTTCCATATCTAATTTAGTAATACATATGGGTGATCGGCTATTAGAAGGTAAATTTATTTTTTTGTAGCACATTGTAAATCACAAAGAAATTTCCATATTCCGTATCATCTATTAGTAATTATGCAACCTTAGGTGCATCAAAAAAAATTTTTTAATTAAATGTGATATATGGCACTATTATTATCTCCATCATGCAATTGAATGAACAATATGTACAATGTATTCAACATTTAATGGATCTTAGTTAGGCAATGGCTATAATATCAAAAATCGAGTGTAACAAGTATGACGAAACTTCGGCATAATAGATTTCCCTTTTTTATTGTTTCTTATATCTTTAATAAGGTAGATAGAAATTACACACATAATCAGATAACGTTACAAATAAAATTACGAGAACGTCATTAAGCCATTGAGCGATCAAATTTAAGAGACGCAGTTTCGCAAATCACGTGTAGTCAATTACATGATCTCTTAGTTGTGAATCTCAAAGTGAAAAAACAGTCAATAACTGTTTTCATTTTGTAAAAAAAAAGTTTTTTTTATGACTTTTCGCATAAATGAGTAATTATGTAAGGTTAAATGTCGTATGATTTTTTTTGTTGCATAAAAAACGTAATATCACAAGCAAAAATTGTATCATAACCCTTTTCATCTTTATTAATTCCGCATGATTATAAAAATTTATATAAAGTGTTTTGTTTTGACGAAGAAAAGTATGTCAAACGATATTAACTGTTTCGCTTGAAATTCACCATAATTTGGTTGAACAATAATAACTAAAAACAGAGAAAATATTTATACAATAACAAATATGGTAATCTCTTAAAGATTCCAAGTCGTCGTGAAACTCAAAGTTAAAACTCAGCCAAAAAACAGTCATATAGACATACCCATATCTCATTTTGTAATACATATAATGAGCTATTTTTGTTTTTTGTAACACGTACGGTAAATCATAAGCAAAATTGTACCGTCAAAGAAATTACCAAATCCTGTATCATTCATTAGAAATTCTATCCTTAGGTGCATCAAAAAAACTTTGTTTAAGTAAAAAAGTGATAATAAATATAGATGTCTCAAAGTAAAACTTAACTTTTCTTTAGAATGAGTGATGTATCCAACATTCAATGATGGCTATAGATTTCAGAAATCGCGTGTAACAATTGTTGTTTTTGCTTGGTTTCTCCGTTTCCAAATCGTGTTTTACCAAATCTACTGGTCAAACAATTGCTTTCAAATATTTAAGATCAAATAAAACATAAATTAACTAAATATTAACATTGAAAAATAAATTTGGAAGGAATATTAAACAAAATACAGTAGAAATCGTATTTGATATGAAAACAATCAAGCGGACAGGTTTCACGCGCTGAATTTCCTCCTACAATTGTGGGTATAATATTTTTCCGATAGTATCAATTCTTGATTCTAATAGCAACATCCATGTTAGTCCTTATTCTATCATAACCTTTTCGATGCGTATAGAATTTTAACGATCCAGTATGCTAGAAACTTTGAACTAATTTTTTATCACCTTAGAAGGTTTCTTTTTTTTTCGCTGATTTAACAATGAATATGCTTTGCATACGAATGATTGTTCTATTTACATATATAAATAAAATAATATGTTTTTTTTGTTAATTGTTTATTATTTTTATTATTTATTTTTCTTTACTATTATTTTAGAAATGATCAGCAATAAATCTATACTTTTTTTTAAGTTTTATTCTTTATATTTAATTTCGGGTTGGTTGATTTCAAGAAGCAAGCGAGGTATTAATATTATTATATTTTTACTTTTCGGTTCGATCGTTTCGGGCCGTAGCAATCTAATATTTTAAAAACGTAAAAATCAGTTAAATTAAAAATAAATTCAAATCATTATAAAAGGTTTATTTGTTGAAAGGAAATAATTTGCACTTTGACAAGGTAGTTCATTAATTATTCTGTCTGACGTGAAGTACAAAGGATTTTTTTGTTTTACAAATGGAACGTAAATTTATTTTATTTATTCTAAAAATTGTACTAAATACTTAAAAAAAATAATTATTATACTGTATATCATTATGTCAGCAATCTATAACGTTTTTCTTATTGCGATTTTCACGTTACTAATGTCTTGATTTGCAAGTTTCACCATTCATAAGTTCACAATTTCGCGAGTTTTTTTTCTGTAAATCATTTTGTTGTTTAAGTAAATGCCTTCCTGTATTGTATAGATCTTTTGTCATTTAATATGTAAATCAGTTAATGCCAGATATTTAAATTTGTTCAGCAAGATGAAGAAAATTGCTCAAATATATACTTAAATTCTTGATAATTAAATTACGGTCTAATATTTAAGATACTTGATAAATTTTCTGTTGTTTTAAAATAAATTTCACGTTATTTTACAATTCGCTGCTACATAAATATCCGACCAAAGTGAACGAAAATGAAAAGTCAATGCAATTGTAGAAAATTCTATATTATAAACTATTTTATTTTAGCTTTATTTGACTAAAAAATTAATACTTGTTGATATAGTTTATGTACGACCTTAATATATGAATTACATGTGGTCTTTCTTCTTAGTAATCATCCGGTTTATTATGCTTATAATTTTCTATTTTGCATGAATTTGGAATATAGAAATTTTTACTGGTGATTACAGGCTTTGGAGTGGCTGTTTCTTCTTTCCACTCCCAGACATTGATAGAGATATCTGGATTCATCTCCTCAATCTTATTAAATATACATAGGCAGATGGGAGTGGGCATTGGGATTCCATCTAATTTGACTATATCTAAATATGGTTTATATTTTATAGTACGAAAGATTCTTTCAAGATCTATATGTCCATCCTGATCTGCGAAATAGCAACTGAATGACTCTCGGATAAATTCTTCAGATAATTTGTTTGTTTTCAGATCAATGAGACCTTTGTTATCTGGATCGATAGTACATTTTATATTGGTGAGTCTTTTGGGAGATTATTTGAAGGATCCTCCTGTAGCTCGACAGCATTTATATACCTTAATAGATATTTCAAGAATTTGTTCTAGATCCTTTTTTTAATGTTTTCTCAATCTGATTATCTATTTCTCCAGCAGATTTGGTTATATGGGTTGTGAGCTAGGAAAATGAGGTTCTGGGACATTTTAACCAAAGTTAAAATTTTTACTTTATATTAATG